TGTCCGGTCAGTATGTATACGGGAAATGCGGCCAAATTAGGCAATATTAGGCTAAAGGGGATGTCACTCAACACTTTGGACATGAAGTATGAGAAGCACGAGTAGTAGCCGTTCCCATATTCCTAATAAAAATAAAATTTAATTTAACGTCCAATTTGTGGATTAATTGATACCACACCTGAAGAAATACATTCAACTCTATGGGGAATATTAAGAGTACGGGAAATATGCCGCCAAACCATCCAAAGAGACAAATGAATGCCAGTCCGCAGCAGTTCTCGAAGAGGTCGGCCGCGTTATCAAGAGCCTTCTGGATCAGATTACTGCCATCCCCTACGCCATAGTCTGAGGGACAACCAGATAATACACCACTGTCTGTGCCAAACAGTAGGCTTATCGCTAAACCCACGATAATGTAGCCAAAGAATCTCATGGGAAGCATAAACGGGTCTCTAATCATGGTCTGGAAGGACCTATAAATTTGTGATAAAATAAATAAATTATTTGGAAAATTATTAAACTTATTGTAAGTATAATATTAAGCTAATTATTAAACAGTGAATTATAACAGAAATATGTTAGAAACTATTTTTTTTATTAGACCTGTAATCAATTTTGTTTATTAAACCTACTACAGTATTGGTATATCTAAAACTTAGAATATTAATACAAAATTAAATACAAACACTTACCTAACAGTAAGAAAGTAGATATCCCTTGAGGTGCGAAACCCGTGATTATTATTAATCTTATACTTATTTGCGGGCATTTGTTTGGCATCAGTCTTGACAATAGTGGCCAGGGTGACCAGCCTGTCCACCCCATGTTCTTTGGAGGCCACCTCCAGCGCAAAGTCAGACGGATTGGTGAACTGCGGGCACTCGAGTCCGCACTCCATAAACGTATACCTCATGGCCTTTGGGGAGCCGTTGTATATGCACTGCCCGTCCGCCGACAACAAGTATATCGCGTGAAACAGATTGAAAAGTCTGGCACTCGGCTGATGTATAGTCAACACAACGGCTACCGGTTCCGGCTGTTGGGTCAGTGCTATGAGTGTATTGATGAGCTGCCACGTCGTCACTGAGTCTAAGCCAGTGGTGGGCTCGTCCAGGATGAGGATGTTGGGCCGGGACACCAGCTCCAGCCCAATGAGCGCTCGCTTGAGTTGGCCGCCCGAGCACCGGGAGGGCCGGTTGTCGGCGCACGTCTGGATCATGAGTTTGTCGATCACGTCGTTCACAATACCCGAGTGGTCGACGAACGGGTCGTTTTTGAGTTTCGAGGCATACATAAGGGACTCGCGGACGGAAAGCCTACTTAGGATGTAGTTCTCCTGCGCTATGGACGCGAACTTTACCTAAAGATAAGAGTTTTAAGTGTTTTTCAGATGTTTATGAAGTAATTTTTGTAACTCACCTTGATGTTTGTCGATATGGTGATAGACCCGGACAACCCTTTGGTCTTAATACCGGCTATACATCCCAATAGCGTAGACTTACCGCAACCGCTCGGCCCCATAATCCCTGTGATCTGACCGCTAATGAAATAGCCGTTCACTCCATTGAGTATCACTTTCTTGCGGTTCGTATTATCGTTGGCGGTGTAGGTCAGGTTACGCCACATCACCCGAAACGGATCCAGGTTACCATTAATATTCTTTGCCTGTGAATTCGTATCATTATTGATGTCGATGTTAACGTCTGTCATGTTTTGTTACACCAATCAATAATTTGCTGTGTATATAAAACAAAACTGCTGTTAGTGGTAGCGCGTGCAACAATTAGGGTGACCAGATATTTTTCAATATTTTGTTTAAAACTGGACAATCCAGTGCAAAAATGGACATCTAGTCACACTAGCAACAATACATTGAAATAAAAAATAAATAAAATAAATATAAAACCGTTAAACACTCGGCTCTCAGACTCATAACAACAAACAATTAATTTAATAGATTTAATAACAAAAAGTAAAAAACAATTCTTACAAAAAATTAATTGCTTTTCTTATGGTTTTCATTCTGAATAATAAACTTAATAATGAGTTTTAATTTCAATAAACATGATTTATTTGACATAGTTTTATATTAGATTTCAAAATCATAATTAATGAACACAAATATATAAAACCTTAAATTATATAAATCGATTTATTAGTTAAAAGTAAAGAAAATATTTAACGCAAAAAACTACTATAATTTTATTAAAAATATTTTTATACATAAATCATTACCGGTATAAACATTAAATTTTTGACTTCACTTTTCCCAAAATAAAATAATAAAATAATTTGTTTTTGAAAAGTTTGTTGAATGCAAACAAAAAGAAATTGTCAATAATGCTATTACTATTGAATAACAGATACTGTATTTGAAAATAGTTTATCCGTTAGAAAAGCAAATCAATGATAAGTTTATGAAAATTAACGTATAATTAAAAGTATAATAAGTCTATGAAATCTGATTGATTTGTAACTATTTTTGAAACACACTTATTATAAAGCGATTACTTTAGACTTAATAGACTTTCTATAGACTTATCAAAGTTTGACTAAATTTGAGTGTTTTATTGAAATAAGTAATTCATTAGTGACTTAAAGACAATGTCGGGTCTGAAGAATGTGTGGTCGAAACCCAACTGGGATGTGGTACCGGTGCCCCACGCGACCAACTGTCCCCTGGAAGGAGGTGTTGAAGGAGGTACGTAATATTTTAATTTATCAAATTATTAGTAGTACAGTAATAAAATAAATTTTAGCAACATAATATTTGAATAAAACACTCAAATTTAGTCAAACTTTTGATACGTCTATATAAAACTATTAACACAAAGGTAATTTCTCACTAATAAGTAGATATCTGGTTCAATATATCGGATGAGTCCTGACTAATATAGGCTTATCTTTCGCTTCTTACAAGCATTTTTTGCTTACGACTAAATATTAAAATCTTTAGTGTATAAAGTCTATGAGTTTAAGTTAAAAAGGTATTAATATTTAGTTGTAAACAAAAATGCTTGTGAGAAGCGAAAGATAAGCCTATATTAGTCAGGACTCATCCGATATATTGAACCAGATATAAATTAATCAGATTTATAAACTAATTACAACTTTGAGACCAGTTATTATAGATTAGTTAGTTTTCATAATCTAGTAATTGATTTATTTTACAAACCGCTAAACTATTTGTCAAAGATTTGTTACTCAATAGGAATAGCATTGTTTGCAATCAATAACTTTCCAAAAAACATAAATGTTGGCAACTTTTATAAACATTAGTTTTAATAAAGTACAAACACATAACTACACATCATTTAAACGAAATAGATTTAAAAGTTTTCAAAACAAAATTCACATTTTTATTCACTTGGTCTTTGAGACCCCTTTCGTGAGGATCACATAATAAGTGAGGGAACGGTAGATAATAAAGTGGATAAACAGCATAAATATACAGAAATAATAGTCTGAATCGGTTAATGAGAACATATCCATAATAATGGATATATTTTCGCCATCTTTACCGCCGGTTATCAATGAATTAATGGATTTCAACAGTAATTGGGAATCAATTTTGTCGGACGACGCGATTTCCATGAGTTTATCGCCGGGAATGGCGTCCAATATGTTGAACGTCCCGTTGTGAGCGCCTACCTCTTGGTCACACCTCCCAAACCCATAGCTATTGATGAGACAGGAGGTCAGACCAAAGCGGATATAATTGATGTTTGTTATCCACTGGAAATAAATGGGCATTCTTTTTAGGTTGATCATAATACCTGTGCCCATAAAAATGCATACATAATACAAACAATACAATTATTACCATTAATCAAAAGTTATGTTTAGTCTATGGTTACAATTACCCGATAACAGGATTAACGGTACCAATGATAGCATGCCCATGAATGCGATAGCACCGGGATAGTCGGACAGGGAGGCCCCTATTAGGAATCCCAGTGCACTCGAGTTGAATGAGATTAGTATGAAAATGAAGGCAAAGTTAAACACACGCCAAATGTCGCCCATGTATTGTCCGGTCAGTATGTATACGGGAAAGGCGGTCAAATTAGGCAATATTAGGCTAAAGGGGATGTCACTCAACACTTTGGACATGAAGTATGAGAAGATCGAGTAGTAGCCGTTCCCATACTCCTAATAAAAATAATAATTTAATTTAAATACCAATTTGTGGACCAATTGATACCACACCTGAAGAAATACATTCAACTCTATGGGGAATATCAAGAGTACGGGAAATATGCCGCCAAACCACCCAAACAGACAAATGTAGGCCAATCCGCAGCAGTTCTCGAAGAGGTCGGCGGCGGTCTCGAGGGCCTTCTGAATCAGATTACTGCCATCCCCTACACCATAGTCGGAGGGGCAACCGGATAATACACCACTGTCTGTGCCAAACAGTAGGCTTATCTGAAGAGCCACGATAATGTAGCCGAAGAATCTCATGGGAAGCATAAACGGGTCTCTAATCATGGTCTGGAAGGACCTATAAATTTGTGATCAAATAAATAAATTATTTGGAAAATTATTAATCTTATTGTAAGTACACTATTAAACTAATAAACATTAATTAGTGAATTATACAGAACTATAATTTTTATTAATAGACTATCACTTGTAAATTACAAGTTGTAAACAATTTTGTTTATTAAACCGACTACAGTATTAGTATAACTAAAACTACAGTATATTTAAATTTTAATACAAAATTAAATACAAACAAGACTTACCTAACAGTAAGTAAGTAAACATCCCTTAAGGTGCGAAACTCGTGATTATTATTAATCCTATACTTATTTGCGGGCATTTGTTTGGCATCAGTCTTAACAATAGTGGCCAGGGTGACCAGTCTGTCCACCCCATGCTCTTTGGAGGCCACCTCCAGAGCAAAGTCGGATGGATTGGTGAACTGCGGGCACTCCAGTCCGCACTCGTTGAACGTATATCTCATGGCCTTTGGGGGGCCGTTGTATATGCACTGCCCGTCCGCCGACAACAAGTATATCGCGTGAAACAGATTGAAAAGTCTGGCACTCGGCTGATGTATAGTCAACACAACGGCTACCGGTTCCGGCTGTTGGGTCAGCGCTATGAGTGTATTGATGAGCTGCCACGT